TAAGCGATATAGAAAAAAAATTATCCGTTTCTCGTAATCTTACTATTTTCCCTTAACAATTAATCACTTTATCGAAAAAACGAAGTTCATGTCAATTTCACTTCTGAGAACTATATTATTGAACATCTTATAGATCTCTCCATTCTTATATTCCACGTATTCCCTAATGACGTTGAGCACCGTTTCCTGTAACGTTCAATGTTTCAAAACGATGTAGACAAAAAAAAATGTGCGTTTGCCATTTATTTGTGAAGTGAACTGAAGATCCGATCTGATGCTGCTGTCAACACCGTAATCAATCAATTATAAGCGAATTATGTCATTATTACTAGTTTTTGGCTCTGTTTCCTCTGATGGAAACGCAGTGCCCTTTTCTGTCGGTTCTGAAGAGCTTGGCGGCCGCGTGATTTATTTCTGTGTGCGATTTAATATGCGTTTCGCGTCGCAAAATTTAATTATCTTTGGCCGTAAAATTCTATTACGACAGGAAACCGCTCGGAAATTTGATGCAAATGCAATTTGCGTTAAACATATTTTTTTCCGACGTCATCTGTCAGCGTTTCATTTCGACCGCAGCCAATAATTGTGAAGTCGCTTTTTGGTTTTGCGGTTACATTTTTTTTAATTGCATGTTTTAAAAAATGATCTTCATTTGGTGAAGACTTTAGTAGATGGAAACTTTACAAATGTTATACGTTAAACACCTGAAAGAAGTCACATACATAATGTACAATTAATTAATGCTGTACTCTAAATTTTAATAATGTAATCCCCTTTTTGATGCATTCCTTTTTTCACGGATTTAATAACACTCTTGATGCCATAATGGATGCACCTCAAAGTCCATTAGGATGGTACAAATCCGATGACCAAGCGCTGAAAAAGCGAATTCATTATTCGAAAATAGTTTCCAGATTTGTTGTTTTATTCATAAAATACATAACAAAGCAGTAAATCTATGCTTCACTTTTTACTACAGATGTAACACTACTAGTGACCAAGGTCTTTCAGTCAATAAATAAACATTAAAAGTAGGATTATATTTGGAATGTATTTAACATTCCCGATGAATAAATTATGGTACAGCCAAAATTTATGTCCGTGAATACGTTACGACGCTGTATATAATTAATCTTCAACATTTGTACACAAAACGTGACTTGAAGCGCTCGGTTAAATTGCGATTTTTGAATATTAAAAGGAAAAAACATCCGACTTTCACATTTGAAACTTCGAAATTTCCCCAAGGTTTTTGAGGGGATTGTCTATCACAATTTACATAAAACGCAGTGATTAACTTCCAATTAGAAATTTGATAGAAACATACAATGAATGGATTAACGAATTCATACAGAATTCATACGAATTCAGTGAGAATCATAGAAAAAATTAACTTATAAGCATTAATTCTAATAGTGATCTATAAACAAAATACATCAGTATGGCATCAGTACATTTTAAACTATTTTAGAAGAAATAGCGTATATTCATTATTCATTAATTATTTTGCATAAATAAGAGAAACATGATAAACAAAACATTTTTTCAACGGGTGCATTAATTGCGTGGTTATAAATTTGCGTGCAGAATTCTTAGTTTTCGTTTCGTTTACTTTTTGATTAATCAGGCTGTCTGGGGAATTTGAACTGTCTGATATGTTTGTCTTCCTATTACATATCTTATTTATCTATATAACGTTTTCTTTCTCTTTTTTTGTATTAATTGTAGTATGGATTGCGCTAAGGGCTGAAAGTAATCATCCGTCTGTCCATATTATTTTCAAGTATTGGCACGGCAACGACGACCACAGTCCTTACACTGCGCACGGGAAATTCATTTACCAATTCCCTCGTCGATCATTTTCCTTGGAAAAATACACATCGGCTTCAACTAATTATATTTGAACGTGTTTTTTTTTGTTCTTTTCTTTACTGGAAATGCAATTTCAATTTAATTCGCTCTCCGTTTGATAACTTATTGGCAAATGGAGAATATTCGAATGTATTTTTTTTAATAAGTGGAAGAAACTAAATTGAATTTAAATTGCCTATACAAACTGTAGATGGGAAATTATGTTGATATCATAATGTAATTATTACAATTAGTATGTATTACAAACGACATGCCCTTTTACAAGTAATTTCTTGCTACCAATTAGATTTTAGAAAAGCATATAATATTTCTATCATTTGTATTTTTCTAATTATGTTTTCAAAATATTAGTAACATAATTTTTATTTTGATAACGCACATTTTGATAAATGTAAGTTTTTTTTAAGACTTCATTAATTGCTTCCTGATGTTGCGACAGACCTACAACTGTTCTCGGGATATGAAATAAACCTGATAACCTGACAATTCCGTAATATAGTTATATTAATTATCGCCGATCTAGAAATGGATTATTTCGGTACGATGACCAGTTTCATAATCTTTACTGCGATATTGTATGTTCTGTTCTGACTGTGTGGTTGGGTTATATAGGCTAAATACGTTTAATGCATTTGGATGTAATTGCGTTATGCCATATGCGATGCTTACGAAGCGTTGTGATCGCGTATGTACGTATCTATGTTTCGGAATGAGACGTAAGTAGGAAATCGCGTGTTTGATGAAATAAGTTCCGTCGCCCCCGCGTATGGGGGTGTCGGTGTCATTACACGTATGTCCGCCGATATATATTTTTTTCTCTTGCAACAACGAAGAAGGCGACGGGAAATTAGGAAACGTCCCCCGTTCACACGAACACATGTTCAACTTTCCGATCGGTGGAAATTGTAGTAGGGTGGTGGGAGTTTGTACATTTCAAACCAATAATCATTTGGACTCTAAATAAATGATGAGTCCATCCATTAAATATGCACTGCCGCAGGAATATGTGTATGTGTGCGGTGGGGCAGCGACAGTCGTCGGAGGGGCGGGCGGCATTTTAGCCGCCACCGCCTTGTCCGGTTTTTGTGATGGTCGCGTTGCCCAGCAACCAACCCTTCAACACGCGATATTATCGTCAACTGATCAGCTACCGATAAATAGATTACCTTCCTTGCATCATCAATATATTGACAGCTGCCATATTTTTCTCTTGCGACGTTTTGTTGCAAATGTTAAATTCCACTTGGGTCAACAGGTAATGTGTATGGATGAAGCAGATAACCCTTACTTACATTATAGGTGTCAATAAAGAAAACGTTCAGAAACATTGCTAGATAATCCACACTATAACATAACGAAAGTTTTAACTTTAAGTTGGTAATCATCGAATACCATGGAGTTCCCTGACAATTTGATTGAAGTCTCTATATGTCATCTACAAAAAATAAGTATGATTATACGATTTAAATTTGATTTATTATGGGCTTTAATATTTCCAATTCAATTCAAAACTCTCTCAAACTCATTCCGACAATATTGGAATTATATTCGTCACTATAATGTATGTTATATATCAGCATTAAAGGATACATGGATTCAGCGTTGAGTAAATTCAGAATTACGTACAAGTATCTTAGTACTAAATATTACATTAATTGAGTGGGATTAGTGTAATCCAGCTTTTGTTAGCCGCGCATTTGAGAAATACCTTCTCTAAGTGTTTCCAATTTAATCCTAAAATAATGAACTATTAATTATCAAAATATGTGTGTAATGTGCATATAATATGAATGTTGGTGTTTTCATTTTATTATTTTAAAATCCACAAAGTCTCGTTATGTTTGTTCGGCTTATATAATTCATTTAAATCAGTTTGAATTTGCGAGTTGGACGCAGGAATTTTAGAATTTTACACAAATCGGATCGTTGTTTTCAATTTGTACTTGCACAAAATTTATTTTGATAATTATTTAATGCAAATAGTTGATTCGTAATTAGATATTAAAATTTGTGTTTAGTTGAAAACATATTTACATCGGATAATTACCGAGTTAATTCAAATTAAAACAATGGATGCGTAATTACTAAGGCAAGCAGCATTTATAATTTCGGATTGAAATGTGACGGTGAGCTTTATAATTTTGCGTAATTACTGAAGGCAACTAGTAACAAACATGGACAGTCGCCGAACGAATTAAATTCAACGAGCATGTATATCCGGTTTCTCGCTGTACTCCAAATAATGTGGTCTGCCGGTTTTTGCTTTTATTTTAGTCAATAATATCGCTGTTAAATATACAAGCTCATATTTTGAATTCCTGTAAACGTAAAGTGCATTTTTTTGTTTTTGTTAATTGTGCAAGGTTGATTAAATCATTAATTCTTCTTTTATTTGTTTAATTATTGTTGTTGATTACGAAAAACTATTGGTGTAGTCACAGTTGAAAATTGTAGCGGCAATAATAATGGAAAATTAAAAAGCTTGTGGTAAGAACGCAAGGTGGTATCTATTATTAGTTGTCTTTGTCGTTCTGGAGGGGTTGCAGCCTTCAGAATGTTTGTATTCGTTGGGTGGTAGCTATGGTGACATGTCAACAATCAATTGAGGCCACGTACCCTTTCGTTGGACCAATGGGCACCGTTCTGGGGTGGAAATTTACCTTATAAGTTGATAGACAACAGAGCTGTGGTCAGTCTCAAGCTTGTGGTCGGCTCGCGAAGTCGCAGAGCAATTTATTGTTTTTTTATTTATTATTATTATTTCTGTCCATTAATATCACCATCATCAACATTTCACTTCAACTAGCAGCGGCCAAGGTAAGCGCAAAAGAAGCCTCCTTGTTTTGTTCTTACATTTTACTTGTTTCTTCATATATTTTTGTTTTGTTTGTTCTTCGAACATTACGAAAGACATTCACCCTGTCATCATTTTAATTGCGTTCACCGAGTAAACCGTCCGCGGAGTGCGCGTCCCTGTTTTTAATTCAAACTGATGGCGGCAATTTCGAAACTGGAAATTATATTGTCCGCTTTATTAATTGCCGTCCTCAACACATTTTTTTAATTAAACATGATTTATGATACTGCGTTTTTCGAACGGCACGCTCATCTCGTTCGTTTCGTTACAGAATCCCCTGCCAGGACTGGATCTTGGCACTGCTGGTTTATCTCCACGACGGTAAGTCTACTTCAATTAATTAAGTCAAAATTAAGAACGTTTCTTGTACCATCTTTCCTCTCATCTATCTTTACCACTCATCAAGAAATTATACGTTTCAAAAAAGGAATTTACTTACATTCTTGAATCAATATAAATTACAATCGATTTATTATTTTACTTAATTTTCTTATATTATTTGCACATCTAAAAATTGCATGCTTTAATTTCATGCGTTTGCTTTTTTATTAAATATAGCGTAATAATAGGTATATTATCATGAGCATTACTAGACAATAGAAAAGTTGAAAATATTGGTCTTATTCGCCGAGTGACATTTGATTTTGTAATTGTTTTAAAGCTTGCAACGTTCAGATATCCAAGCCCGGTTCCATAATGGCGAGTTAATTCGGTGGTAAGTCTATTGTAACCATGTCGTAATCGTAGGATGTATGAAAAATGAAACTTAATCATTAGTGAAACTCGTTAATGTCTAATTAACTATGTATCGTCAAGTCAACTATCAATACACTTCTGAAAGTATTATGCAAGCAAGACTTGTCTTCGATGAGCATTTCTGAAAATATCTTCCATAGGATCAAAATGGAATGTTAATTTATAAATTCTATTCATATGTTCATGGTTATTATTATTTGAGGACTTTCTCTACTTGTTTTTTTTCTTACAATAAAGCAAAAAAAAAGTATACATTTATGAAGTTGCTTTACGCTTCAAACATATTTGATCATCATATAAAAATATCCATTATCTATACATTATTTATTTATTAAATGTAAATTCTTTTAATTTTTATAGTGTTTATATTAAAATAATCAATTCAACATTTTTATTTAAATAATTCTCTACAGTAACTAAATATAATGATACACTTTTATTTAAGTTCAAACATTAAGTTTTAGAATTGCAGCTACTAATTTAGTTTCACTATCATCATATTCTATTGTTAACAAAGTAGACGTTAAAAATAGTAGGTTTCGTGGTATGTAACAGTTGGTATGCCTAAAATACATTTGTCTCATGTCACGCATGGTATGGATAGAACACAATAATATTGTGCTATATTGTTGTTGTTGATATTTAACCAAATTCAATGCTGTCGTTCCTTTGCTGACGACAATACTGAAATGTTTCGTTACTTAATACTTTTTTTTGCGACGTTGAAAAGGTGAAGAAATTCGCCTTCCATTGACAAAAGTTGACAGTTTTCATCTCAATCACATTTGCAGCAGCAATTTAACAAAACGCAAAAGCTCGGGCCACAGTGCATCATCCACTATTCATGCATCTACATAAAAAAGAAACAAACTTATTCGTCGTTGGTCGTTGAGTAGATAGATGCATGCCAGCTAGTCTTTCTACAATGCCCAAAAAGCTTCTATTCAACAGTACGCCTGGTACCGCTCTACTTTACATTATTAAATTTGCTGTGCATCGTTTACAAAAGCTTCTCTGCTGTGACTCTTTTTCCGCGCGCGCTACTTCGTTCCTGGCCCAAAATAAAATGCTGTACTCTTCCTCTTACGCAAAATCACGTCCAATTAATTTGAGTGCTCTTTATTTGCATCTGTATTTATTTCATTTCATATCGTAATCCTCAGCTTAATTTGTTGGACAGCTTTATGGTGACAAAGGGTAATAATACTTGGAACAACATATTTCCAACATTAAATGAAAAGCTGATTGCAATAAATCGTCCAACAAAACCAACGCAAAGACTTAAAAGTATTGTATGCAATTTGCTTTTAGGGGCGAATGCAAACTAAATGAATGAATGGTTAATTAAATTAGTTTGAAATAAGAGCAATCATTTGATAATGCAATTCATTTGACAAGCAAGCAAATTTTAAATAGTTTAAAATTATTTTTATGGATAAATAATTCTCTTGTAAATATAAATATAATGACCTATAATGTATGGATCGGAAACGCTTTTCTCGTTGCATATCAAAATATCGAACATTTTGCTTCCAATTAAATCACGATTCACGTTACTTGAACCTCAGCAGTTCAAATAAACTGCAAATATACAAATTGTAGTCATGTTTAGTAAAAAAATGTTTATACAAAATTACTTTAGATATTTCAAAAAAAAAACTAACTGCTTATCTGAGAATGATACAGAAATATTTAAATTCACCAATAAAATATTGCATTGATTGAAACGGTTTGCAGAGGTTATCACAATTTTATCCAGGAAGTTTGATAGATAAACTCGATTCTCAATCGCTGGTAATTTACAAGTATTGACAAAGAAGAATTGTTTTTGATTTACGAATAACACAGAGTAATCGTATTAACATAACGTGCATTAATTGTTTCAAGGTCTTTCGATGCATATACGTAAACATGATTGAGCAAATTAAATGAAAACCAAACGGCAGCGAATACGTGCTTCGCTCTTTAAGTAAATGCATTTGTTTCCGTGTTTTTATAATTATAGAATCTCCACAGATGATATCTCAACTAATCAAATTATAAACACCAAAACACATTGAAATCAAGTACCTAAGTTTAAAATTCGCTATTTGTGTTATCTAAGCGCAATCTTTACATTCGCATCAAGGTCGTGTAGTTATTTAAAAATGTTATCGCTTTAGTTTCATTTACCGATGTTGTCATAAGTTTAGAGTAGATAAGGCCCGACCCACATCATGTTTTCTTCGTGCATTCCATCCAATTTCACAGAAATCCTGACTCGAAGAAATTCTTTTGAGTCGAGGGTTTCCTTGGCGAGATAGCAATGTACGAGAAACGTGAATGTGCAGATATCGCGCGTCTTATTTACTCTGCGGATGTTTGCATGCGTGAGAGGCAAAGTTTGCTAAGCCACTTCCATCGTCCTCCCACTCCCAGTTCATAAACCAAGCCGACAATAATTCCTCGGAGCTCAGTTTACCATTCCAAACTGAACTCATCGCATTGTGCAGTGAAATTGTTAATTACTTAAGTGTGTATGTATAGTAGTGCACCAACAAATTAAGCTAACACAAGTTGGATATTGTCATTAGTTCATATATTAATAAGAATAAACGTAAGTTCATTATCAGATTATTGTAATAATTGCTTTTTTTTTTCATGTTATAAGACAATCATTCTAAAGTCAATACATGTATAGTAATGTAATTTTATTAAAGTATTTTTGCGAAATAATTACATTCTTGAAGTTACACTATTAATAAGGATACATTGCTTTCACGAACCTCGTGCAAATATTCTACGTAATCAGTTTATATTTTTAATTGTAATTGATAACTTCATTGATGTTTTGTTGTGTAGGGTCATCTCATAAATGATATTATTAGTTTAAAACGATCCTTGTTGTTCAATTTCGAGACAAAATCGCTTTGCTTGTAGTAGATTCAAGGTTCGAACCTCGGGAGAAACGGTCATCGGTGTGATACGTAAATACGAAATAATAACACGGAAACGCCATCTCCAGATCGAATAAAGTAGGTGAATTGAGTGTGCAATCTATTTTCGCTATCTATAAATCTCGTTTCGTCATTGTGGAGTTTCTCATCGGTCCGCTTTGCCGGCTTGGATTAAACCAGGCGTGTAACATTATATATTCAGGACTTTGGCACATTCCTCCTTGGTCATTAATTATGATCCCCTTTGGATGGACTTCGTTCCCGCTTTTCTCTCGAATAAATAAACGACGAAGTCCTCCTGTCTATTTCTGTTTTTAATCCCATTTGCCACCACTCTTGATTTATTATGTGTGTGTGTGCTTTTTATTATATTGTTCGATCTCTTCCCGGTACCATCTTCATTTCGGAACTTCGCTTATATTTATTAACCCAATTTCGTTGGGGACGACCACGTGTTTGTTTATTTTTAAGTAGCGGATATATTATTAGAAGTTGATGCGTGTTCCAAAACAATATTTCGAAAAAAATAAAAACACGCGAAGAATCGAATGTAAAGTAAATCAACAGTTTTATTTGTTTACTGGTACTATTTTCGCGCGTAGTTGAAGCACGTTAACTACATCATGGAATAGGGAAATAGTATGAATCAGCACACGTCTAATAACGACGGAATGTTTTATGCAGACAGTTTCACTGGTTTCTTAATATTTACGATGTATTTATGTCGCTTGTGCGTTAAGACGTTTGGAATTTTCGTGCGGCAATAAAAAAATTCTTTATAACTGTCCTACCTGCATGTTATTCATCTCACGTGCGTTTTCGCGTTAAAAAAAAGATGTTAAGGGACCAAATACTATTTATATATATATTCAGAATATGAATAATATATATATATACAAATGGAGTCGATATATTTTCACTCCTAAAATTTATTGTAGCACGCACCAAAAACAAAATAAATAAATGGAGAACTATTCGTATTTTATGGCCTCACGTAATTAGTAAAAGTGGCTGCTGCTGCTCTCTCTGTGACCTTTAACGGCTGAAAATGCGATTGCCCAAGATGGTTTCAAATCGGTCTCTCTTTCGCTTAATTTTTACGCAACTAATTTTGATTTATCGTGTCTTTATTATATCGACAATTTACATATATATTTATATGTATGTTCTCGAGAGGTGCTTAAGAATTGTTGGAATTTGGGTCGTCCGTAGCGCATCCGCCGCTAACATTACTATACTGCACTTATACAAACACTTCTTTTTTTTACAATTTACTAAAGCCTTCAAAACTACTCGCTCATTAATTTATGTGGAATGGGTTAAGGCTAACCAAGTATCTTTTAGCCGCAATCAATTCCAACTACAATTAGTCGCGGTTTTTAAGATACACGTATTTTTTTTTATTACCGTCTCTGCTCATCCGAGGAATGTTTAACTTAGTATGAACAACATTTTACACTATTACACTGCTTCCACGTTAAACGTTACATAGAGATATATTTGACCCAACTATTATGCCAATGCAGAGTAATTGCAGCCTCATTGTCATCGTACTTAATAAACTTTAACTTTCATGTCATATTGCAAAATGCTGTTTATCGAAGTATTTTTCAGTTCGTTTTCATGATAGTTTACATATAACAATAAAATTGAATATTCCTTCGTTTGATCAATATACCCCAAGGTAGTATAGGTTTATTTGTGTTTTGTTCGAAAAGAGTATAATATAGTATGAGCAACCGCCGGGAATTTTGGCCGTCACTGATGATATCGATTTTATTTTCCTTTTGGTTATACACTCGCCCTCCATAGAGCACTCCTTTTGAACCTCAAATTCCTGCGGGGGTTGTTGATAAATATTCCATTAATTGGGATCTGGCTTTGGCAATTAGTAAACATTTCGCTTGCGGCGATTGACTAAACAGATTACAGATTCGCACCTGCCATCATCCGTTGACTTTAAATTCGAAAAACAAACAAACAATTCGATAATCAACAGCGAAAGGAAAGTTCATACATACTTTATCACATTTCAAATATTTGAGGCAATCCTGAAAAACTAAAGAATTCAGTATTTGTCATTGGATTAATGAGTACATGAGAGAAACATATATAAAACACTTGAATGCGAATATTCGTATTTACTTAAAAATGAATTGAAATATATAATAGAAGTTCGCATGACTTATGCACGATGATCTCCTATTCTCAATGGATGTGAATTAGTTTCTGAATAATAATTCGAGTGTGAATTATTGGATTCCGTGTGCTACAGACTTTTGAGAGTTCAACAATGTGATTGTCGTCTCTATCTGCACCACACGAGATTCACGTTATTCATGCATGGGGAAAATTCAAGAATTGAATAGCCAAACAACTCTGATCGCGTTACATTCTTATAAAAAAGCGGCCAGTTCATATTTAGAGAAGAAAAAAACAAATATTTGAATTATTTCATCAAATAAACTTAAGCTTTCAATTTATTAGTTTGTTTAGATGTTTAGCTCTTGTGTACAATTAATTCAGGAAGCAATACAAGAGTGTTTATTTTAAAAATTAGTTTTACTAACATAATATTCAACCTCTGTTTATTTGCTGCAAAGGAAGTGCATGAAATTGTCGCTTTTTCTCTCCATTTTATCTATAATTGAATTTTATTTTCCACCTCGGATGGTCGGAACGTAATTTTACAAATAGATTTGGATTAAACTTAATTTTCGATGGCGTCGGTGCATTAATGCAACTTCCGTTTCTATCGGTAGACTTGAGTTTTTAGAATACATCAATCTCGAAACCGCAAATAGGAAGTTTAATTTTATATCGAAGCAAATTGGTGCAGACGACGAGGTATAAGCGGCACTTACGAAACCGTAGTACTTTTAAGCAGCAGACGGGCTCTTTGAATTGCGGTTTAACAGTTCGAATCCCGATCTACTTGCAACCTGTTATGAGACTTCCGCTAAATACGTACGCAAACAAAACGCCCGAACCCCCCCGTCATCATCCATTTTCATTAGCATATGGAATGCAACGTTACTCATGTCTTTTGTTCGTACGAGGCCGACTTTAACATAAATCGATCGTCCTTCGACGGAAGAAATCATCTTTGCTAATTGGTAAGACAAAGGTCTCATTGTAACGAGAACCCGATACGCGCTTAATTTCACTTGAGCGGGGGATCGAGATCGGATTATTCGATGTGTACGGTGCGATGGGAATTCGTGCCAACGCGTTAAATGAGTCATGACAAAAATTCTTTTGTGGCCAATTTTCCGGAAAATTTGGCAAATTGCCGGAGTCGGGCTCTCTCTTTCCTCTAACTAACATCGCGAAGGACCCACTGAAACACACTCAAAAAGAAACAATCACCACTTTGTCAGAACGTTTGTTTTTTTTAATGAATACAACAACAAAAAAATGTTTCAATAATGTAACGTTTTGCTTTTCTAATTAATCCTCCTGTCGTAACTCCAATTATTAATTGTATGTTTGCGAAACTATTTATGTAGGTAATCAATTGTATATATTCATGAACTGTGGAATATCTACATGGAACAACATACTTTATAATATTTTAATTTAAATTTGATTGGTAGATCCAATAAGACTGAACATTTGTATCATTTTCCTTCACCTTGGCATCTGCTGCTTTTTGTTTAGAAAGAGTTTGTTCAATTTTCAAGTTTAATATGTATTAATTTACATAATAAAATAAAATCAGTAATACTTTGCATAACATTGAACTCAAGGTATATCTGATCTGATACAAAAATGCGTGCATTCGATATTTCTTAAATTTTCTTCCGAATTCTTGTAATCGTTTTGCTCTTGTAAAGCGAATTTGATTCATATCAACACAACAATTCAAACTCGCATAATATAGCAGCAAATTTCATATGTAGATCGCAGCATCTTTTATGTAAGAGCGCGCCTTTCTTATTCGTGGAAAAATAATAATAATTCATGTCGAAACGACGCAATGCGAAGCAATGTAGATCACAAGGACAAGGTCTGTCGGCGACTTTACGTAACAGAGGCGATCGCTAAATGAAATTGAAATCGTAACACATTCGCGAAAACAAAATGCGAACCCTGAGACGCATTTTATGAAACCGGTTATAATTTTTTTCTTCTGCTTACTCATTTCTTTTTATTATTGCTGTTGTAGAAGTAGTAGATTTTGACCCCAAAGGTCTGATCGATATTAATTTGTTAAATTCTGTAACTGTTCGTGGAGAGAAGTACAAAAATAAATAAATAAACACGTAATGCAATATTTAACTTATTCATAATGACGATTCCTTTGTTGGACAACTTTTCACACACCTATATTAGTTTTAGCACTTATTTCTGCCGCTTTCCAAAAACTGGAAAGCGAGCGAATGGAAAACTCCGTTGTTTCATGGTTTCTTTTTCTGCTTTGTTCTAGGTACCGGTAGCCATGAAACGTGAAGCTGATGGTGAAATGGGATCCCCACAAAAAAGATCTCGTCGCGGCGATGAGGAAGTTCGTTTACTTATTCCCAGCAAGGTTCGTATATTTATATAGTTCGTGTAGTTTGCGTTGTAGTATATGTTCTGGTGCCAGAAGTGTATGCTCCGTCCATTTTCATGGGTTCTGAATGAAATGGCAGTCGGGCAATTCTTTGCGTAGGCCCATCCATGCACATGCCACCTAAACGAGCCGAAGATTAATGCCTTTTTGTCCGCTCCCACTAAATTTACTTTTCCATAAATCATAAGCTCGAGTGAAATAATTCACTACATTCCGAATCCATCATTCATAAGGTTTTCGTGTTATTTATTTTTTCGTACCTGACTGTTACTGGCTTGTTTGATAAACATAATTCATGACTAATAGTCCGATCCGTGCATATAAAATTCTTATTCTTTGACATGAAACCAATTTTTAAAGTCCTCTAAGAATACTTAACCAAGATTTTCGCGAATTTAAATAGAAATTTATTGCACACATCAAAATCAACTTAAAATAATGAAATGCAATATAATATTATTGTTATTTAAATGTAAATATAAAAAGGTTCTAGAAACATTTTACCAAAACTTTTTACATTTAACTTGCGTCAAAGATTGTTTGATTTTTTACTATTAAATGTATTATTTAACATAACTATTCTGTAAATTAGACACTAAGTAGTATACAAAAAATAGGTTATTTTTATATCAAAATAAATTGTTCTCTATATAACATTGATATATACTTTTAAATTTAAATTCATATTATATGTTTATCAAGATTCTGTGAACTTGAAGTAATGAAGATGATTTGAATAAGATTTATATATCTAATTACTTGCGTATTATAACTCCACGATCTAATAGTTCCGTTTTTGTTCAAATCCAGTTGTGCTTTGAACTAACTCGTTCAGTTATGCTTTCCAGCTTCGAACACGAAGCGAGCCGAATAATTGACGAAATTGAGTTTACATTGAGGGAATTGGAATTAGTTTCGAAGTTTATTCGAGGCATAGTTTGTTTTGGGACAATGGAAGCTACTTCTGGTTGAATGAAGATAAGATGAATAACTGCATCTATCTCTGTTTGGTATTAGATGATGATGTCCACAGTCGAAAGCGTTACGGTCATAAAATTGCCAATTGTTTCTCAATTCCGTCCATTGTTTCTAATGCGATGGAATAATTATAGACGGGAAACATTATTTGTGTCTTTTCCGCGTTTTCTGTGGCTATTATTGTGTCTTTGGTAGTGCCCCAGGGGATTGATAAACAATATTGGTACTATAATAGGCAATAATCTAAAAGTAAACGACTTTTGTGCTCGCACGTCGAAGCTTTTTTTCTTGCCTCCTTCAGGGAAAATCAATCGAGACCATCCGACCAAAAATATTGTAAGGCTTTAGCTAATATTTCTTCTAAAGAGTAGCAAGAATAATATTTTATTAAATCTGAACGAATGTTTTTAACGTAATACTTTCATTATATAAATAAAATCTTCAAAACTTTCTAAAAAATATTTTGAAATTTATATTAACTTTCGTAGATTATTTTGCAATACTTGAAGGAATATGTTTTCCTCCTATTAATACTTCATTTTCTCTCCATTTTAGTTAAGCAATTTTTAATGGGTTTATAAACGATGTAAAAATTCAACTTTCTTCGATGATATTACACACTGTATAAGTGTTATAATGCTAAATTTAGTATTAATGCACATCTATGCAGTTTGTTTATTTTTTATAGTTCGTAATTATGCAGAATTATAGCATTATTACTTTTTAAATATTACATCTAAAAATTTAGAGGATCGATCTTGGAAATACCGATGGACTATTCCAAAAATAACGTAATTTTAATTTATTTATTAGTTAGTACAGTCAGGTAAAGAAATACTAAAAACTGGTATACATGGCTCGTGTGACTAGTATTGTATGCACGTGATTAAGTCGAAACATGCTATTTACCTCGGTGGCGGTTTTAAAAACACCGTCGGCATATGATAAATTAGAGTCGATAAAGAGGAAAGCGTGAGCGGTCTGCATACATTTTCACGTTTCAGCATACATTATTACGAACTCCGAAGTGCATTGTAGTCGCAGCTACAGTGACTCACTTCAACCGATCTCTCCGTTAATTTTCATGATAAACCTCGACGTTTTTCTTTCTAATGTTGCAGGCTGCTGGATCGATCATAGGAAAGGCCGGTCAGAACATCACGAAGCTGAGAAGTCAGGTCAGTAGATCAAATCCAGAACTGGGCTCAAATAATCAAATCTTAAGAAATTATAAGACAAGACGAGTGTTTAGATTAATCTAATGGGGGAGTTAACAGTTTTCTCTCCGTTGAGTGAATTCTACGAAATTTGCGCGTTATTATTTTTATATATTTGTTTTGGGTTTGTTTTCGATTCTTGGTTTATCTTCTTCTATAAATATCGCACTTGTTGTAAACAGGAGACTCAACAGCCTCCCAAGAGTATCACCAAGAGCACGAACTCATCACCAAGGTCGTTGGCCCTCTATAATCAATCTTCTAACTGCTCTGAAGCTGGAGCACGTACTCCTTTCTATTTTAAGCCTGATTGCCTTTTATTATCACGTTTAATTAATTACGGCTTTTTATGTATTATGTATCTTAAATTTGCAGCGAATTTAATCGTTTAATCCTTTGTGTGGATTATGGATTTGGAACTTATTTTACTGAATAGTTTTAATCCTCGTTCGTTTCATTAAAATGCTGTTAGAAATTTCAATTTCAGGAGGCAACTCTAATACGTTTTTGCTTCCAATTTAAGAGAAATTGCTACAATTATATATCAAATTAAAAATGCACTGGTATATGTTCTTCAATATTCCATTTCGCCAACGTTGAATAAGGAATTTTGCTTCGTTATAAACTTGTACTTAAATATTTTTTTACAGATTCTTTGTGACATTTGTTTGTCTTTTAATCGATAGCATGTCCATTGTTTCTTTTTCAGCATTTATTTTTCTCCCATTCAGGTCCTTTGCGAATGTGCGATTTGTACATTTTCTGTTATATTTTGAATAAAATTTCATACTTGGCTTGACTAAAAGCTAGAAAGCGTATTATCTTTTGGGTTGATGGTTGTCCAACGAAAATCTCATGCTCACACAAAACGATTAACAAACCACTAATTTCCTCCAGGTGTCTGTATTTACTTTATGCGTGGTTTTGTTTTTACGTTCATCTGGTACATTCGTTTTAATTCAATAATACGGCGCTTCCATTAATTTTAACTGCTATCTCCCCGATTAGTAAATCTTGGTTTGATCATGCAATTTCGAAACACGAGTATATTTATTGTTTATAGAGTTGTTAACATATGCGATTTGTTGAAACCCCTACGAGTGAGTAGGCCTACTTTATTGTTTTGTTTTTGTTTAATTATTATTATTATTTATTTATTTATTTTTTAGTTTATTTATTATTTTTATAATTATTATTTTATTTGTTTTGTATATAATTTTGGTTTAACTACTCACTTGTTTGAGCCCATGTCAATTGATTTTGAGATTCCAGAAAAAGTGTTATGAAAAATGCCAATATGTTTAACTTAACTCTTCTTCTGCCCCGGCCCGGCCACCCGTGTCCACCTGCCACCCGCCCACCAACTTGACATTGAACATGGCATTTCAATCAACCACAATGGCCCACCACAGTACAAAGCCTCGATTACTGTCCCTGATTGTCCGGGCCCAGAACGGTAAAATTAATATTCACCTACAATAATTTAAATAGTTGTGCTCTATCTCACCAACCAAAAAAAAAGCATTAAGTTAAATAAATATAAGAAATCTCCCCCAAGGTACCAAAACGACCCTCCCGAACCCAACAAAAAAAATATGCCCAATAATTCTCTGGTTGCACCTCGAACTTACAATCTCTCTTTACACGTTAAAATATAATTAAATAACAAACATTTACTAAAAAAAATGTACTAAATACGAGAAGGTGTAAATATATATATAACCCAACTCACATTTGACCGTCGACACGATTTTCGTTTGCTTTTTCGTTTCCTGCTTGCGCTAAATTGCTTTTCAAATTTTTTAAATATTTTGGGTAAAAATCATTGATTTGTAATTAAGTTTTGTTTTTTTTTTGTAAGTGCAACCAGGTTGAGAATCGCAGGTGAAGAAACCCACCTCCAATTAACCGTACTTTAATTTCAGCTTGGGCTTACATATATTATTTTTTTTGTTCTTAAATTGTATTTAAAACTGTTGTCCATGTTTATGTTCATTATTCTTACGAACACCACCACACAATACACTTCATTTACTTTTAACCTGCTCATATTTCTTTTCTTCGCAGTGTATTCTTATTTTTACGATTACTTTCTGCTAAAGCATTTCGATAATTGAGATGAAGAAATTTTATACCATGGTGTATTTTATTTTGCGTAAACTGGTGAAAATGCAAATTTGTGTGGACTTTTCGTAATAGAAGAGAGATACCTCGGCGTCTGTATTTTTGTGTTCCATTTTCCTTTTTTTCATTTTCTATATATTGTCTTTTCTATGTTACCATTTACTCTTTGCTATTATTTTTATTTTATTTATTTCATTATAAACTTTATATATTTTTTTTCTTGCTTTTTACTTCCGTGCGATTTTTGTGCTGAAATCCGATGTGTATTTGCAGTGTGCTGACCCTCTCTTCCGACCTGGAGACCATCTGTAATATCATCAATGACATCGTTCCCAACTTGGAACAGGTGAGTTGCTTCGATTGCTCGATAAATCCGTATCTCTTCCGCTCGCTCCTCCTGAAAACTTCCGAGTTCTATGCGTTCATTCAATTTATTATCGCGTTTAAGTTATATACGACTGCACTCGGTGTGAAGGAGGACGGGAGCGCGATTTACGTACAAAACTTTTTGGCTAATTCAATATTTCCTTTGAAAAAATACACTGTTTTGCTAACCGTCTCAATAACTTATTTTTTAAGTTGAATTTATTAGTAATTCAATATAATATAATTTAATTTCAAAGCTTCCAGATTTTCATCAAAATACCAATATTAAATTAACACATAGGAATAATATAACTAAGTAACATTTTATATGCAACAGCTAAAGTTATCTAATAAGATTCATGTTTCAGAGCTTGTGAAAGATACACATTTGCTCAATACGCCAAAAACGAAGACTATATCTCAATTGCAAATGTATCTCATTTCTTCTACATGTAATGTCGCATATCGGTTATGCTCGAGACGATAATAAATGTACCAAATGAAAATACTAACTCAGATAGGAAAAGAAAACATTACCTGCTTTTGTTATTTATATAAAGGTAGATGTATATATCTTATGCAATATTTACATTGTGTAGTGATGTTTTCTTATTTTTTTTTTGTAAGTTTGTACAATAACTCGGTTGAGTACGTCTGCTGTGGATACACACTTTACCGGCTTTGCAAGAGCGCTTTGTGCACTTTATTATCTGTGGTTTCGGGGGGAACTGGCGTGCCGTAAAATGTGTCTATCGGGGGCGGCAGCAGACTTCCATTAGAAGGTTGATAATGTCGCGTGGACACGAGAGACCCCACACAATGAAATGCCACGTCGCCGTTTGCTTTACCCTGTGTATACACATAGAAGTAATGGACATTACCCTACAAGTGTGTAGTTGTCAAAGTTTGCGTGCCGTAATTATTAATTGTATTTTTGCCATTTCGTATATTTAACTGATAAGCAGCAATAAAAAAAAGCCAACTAACGCCTCATGGGACATTCCGTACCAAATGAATAAGTTTTAAATTTGTAACTAGACGTATACATTGTTATAGCTCACTAAATAGGTGCATTTCTTTGTAGTTAGTTGTTTCATAACTTCCTTTACCGGTCTTTTGTCAACCAATCAAATTACATTCTCGCATTGATTTTAACACTAATTGAAATATATGATATCATAGATAATATCAATGTAAAGTTTCAGTCAGTTTATTTCAATTATA